TTTATATTACACATTTGAAATCATCAACCAATCATTGTTAGACCCCCATTAGAAACCTGGAAGCACTGAAAGACGGCCGTTTCGTCCTGGTATAGGACTCCTCAGTGGCAGTGAACACCCATGACTCCTGCTCCTCACAGGATTCGAACCCGGAATCTTCGGTATTGTGCGCAAAAGCCGGTCGGGCGGCCCAGTGGCCCAACGGTTAGGCGTTCGCCTACAATGCCAAAGGTCCCGGGTTCGAATCCTGTGGGGAGCAGGAGTCGTGGATGCGCACTGCCACTGAGGAGTCAGTCCCATACCAGGAGGAAGCGGCCGTCCAGTGCTTGTGGGTTTCTAATGGTGGTCTAATAATGATTGATTGATGATTTCGAATGTGTAAAAACGCAAACCTCTTAAACTCTGCCACAAAATTTTATATTAAGGTTTCCCAGAGTAGAAGTTGCCATATGTAATAGTCTATTAACTCTTGGTTCTAGATGATATCACAAAATATTGAGTATATGATGAATCAGGATGATTAAAATATATGAGTAAAGCGAAAAAATGACTGGAATTTTATTTGTTTACTTAAAAAAAGTGTCCACCAAAACTGAGGATTCTTCACTAGTCATTTTATACTTACTTACTTACTTATATATGTCTGTTACCCCCAATGGAACATAGGCCGCCGACCAGTATTCTCTGTCCTGGACCTACCTTTCAAGTTCTGTTCAATTTTTGTTCATCCTTCTCGTGTCTGTCATCATTTCTGGTAGTGATAAGCTCCTTGCCCTTCCTCTTTTTCTTTTAACCTTGAGGGTTTCAAATGGGTGCTCGCTGTGTGACATAGTTAGGTGCTTTCCGCGATGTATCTCCTATCCACTTCCAGAGATACTTCTTGATTTATTCTTCTGCCGGTTTGTTCTCTCTCATAGTCTGTTGTTGCTAATGGTGTCTGTCCAACATTCTTTGAATATTACCTAAAATCCCCGCCGTAAGTTGTACACCCAATGATATACATAACATATTAGCGAGCACTTCTTATTCTTCATGATCAGAAATATTTCAAACAATTTCAAAGCAGTTTTTCATTACAGAGTTATTGAGATTGTTGTTTAACTCAGAAATCAGAGATCAATCTTTTCTAGATCAACATTAGAAACCTGAAAGCAATGAAAGACGGTCGTTTCGTCCTGGTACGGTGCTCACCAGTGGTGCACATCCTCCACTCCGGCTATTCACAGTATTCGAACTCAAGATTTTAGGTCTTGCGCGCAAACGTCTAACCTGTGAACCACGTGGCCGGAATCAAACAGTGTTAATGCCTAACTCTACACGACATCATCCAACTGTCTACGGTAGTTACTGTCTACATCCAACACGTTTGAACTCCATTGGTCTCCCAGAATTTCCTCACGAAACCAATCACTAGTAAGCACATTGCACAAGTTTTCATCATAGAGTTATGGAGAATACCTTTTATTACTGAAATCTTTAAGTTACGTTTGGTTTATAATAAAAGTTTGACAACTATAACTTAGTATTATTTAACCTCTTAGTGTCTACTTCTATTCTCTGTGTGATGATAATTTTTTTCAATACTATAACTTGTTAGATTAAGTTTAAGAAATTGATTAAATATTTGCCAAGTTAAATTATTTCTATAGACACATTTTTTATAAAAATTAAACCATTCAGTGTTAAATTTATTTTCTGGACATTTAAAAAAGGTTACCATTTTTAAAATTCTAATACTTTTACGGTCAGTTTGAAATAGTTTGCTGATTATCCCTGTTTGTTGAAATTTTCAGTTCTGAAGGGAATAATAACAGGATAATTCGAAACCATTTGAAAATGTATTAAACCTCATAATCCTTACACAACTCAGTGATAGCTGAGTAAATAACTCGATAGTGTTAGAAGCAAACGATACTGTATTTGATTGTCGGCGTGCACATCAACTCTGAGTTGTGGCGCGTACATCTAGCCAAAGATGGGATTCCAAATAGGACGAGATGCATGCATTAGTTTCCGTTAAGAGTTACAATCTGTCTATTCAATGTAAACTTTCATATTTCTGACTATTTTTTTAAAAATTTTCCAAAGAATCAAAGTAGAACTTCAGGAATTAACTTACTACTCCAAGTAATATTTGAAAATTTGATTAAAATTTTCATTACTTCTTAAAACATAGTACGAGTAAGTTTAGACAGAAAACAAACTTGATAAAAAGTTATTAGTTAAGACATCGGAAATAGTTGTTTAAAGTTGCTCCGGTTTTCATGAATTATTCAGAGGATATCCATCAGTCATTGGTCAATGCTTATCGATATAAACATCGTCATAACCTCTAGTTACCTTGTCATATTTAGTGGAGGTAACTTTATGGAAAGTAATGACAGTTATCAGTGGTCATAGTGATTGATTACAGATAGAATCAGCGAATTTCTTTACTTTAACTTATGAAGATTTTGAGTTTGATTAGGTTTCTTTTTGGATGATTTCTCGTTTCAAATGATTGAAATTAACTAAAATGTCAAACTTTGAAATTCAGCAATCTCTACAATTTTCTAATCAAAAAAGTTTTAATGGGTCCACGTAAACATACAGATTAAAGACTTTTCCTTCATATCGTTGAATTAAGTTGAAATAATCAATCTCATAAATGTTAAACTTTCTTACTGATCATAAATAGTAGAGAAAATTTCTCGCTCAGATAGATGATTATTGTGGAGTTTTATTCTCTAAGATGGAGGTTTTCGTTGTGAAGCTTTCATCGCTCATCTGAAAAACATCATCAATGCAAACTTTAGGCAGAAGCAAACTATTGAAGTACTGATCACATTCAAAACACCACGACATGACAGACAGAGATATAAAACACAGAACTTCGTACATAAGTACATCAGTTCACGTAGCAATACCACATCAGCACACAGACGACACTGTCAGTTCAAATCCTAGAGTGATAGAGATAGTAGAAGTATTATCAGCAATGGAGAAGATTAGGAAGTGAAGATATGATTCGAGAAGTATAATTCAGTAAGATAAATTTAGAAGGAGAAAGATAGAGATTATAAGGAATTCAGAAGGTTAGAATTAAAAAGCACACAAAGAGTGGATGCATCTGTGCTATTCCAAACGATTCTGAGCCATGTCGTTCAAGGTCTCTAACCGTCGGTGACTACCGCCTCGGGGACCCCAACCAGATAGCCTACATCTACCAACATGACTCAGTCCACTTGTCACTGACTTCATGCATTTCTGCCGTGCTTTTGATTGGCCGCCCCCAGCTTTCTTCTAATCTACTCCAACACGCTCGACTACTTCACCACGTCCTGAGAATTATTGAAATGCAATTCACGGAAAATAATCACATATTATAAGATTGAATTTTACAAATCAAAATCACAGATTACCAGAAAACTCTTACTACTCTGTCTGATACCAGACAAGCTGAAAGTTGAAGTCGAACAAAATGTATCAACAAGTGATGAGATCATCAGTCAACCAATGCTTATTTTTGCACCTTTTTTGCTAGTTATTAGGTCTAACTCAAGAGAGAAAATGGAGACATTTTAGGCTTATGATAATAGAAAATTATTCATTACAATTGTACGTCTTGACTTAACAAAAATAAAAAATCTTAGTGAATTGAAATAAAATAATTTTGAGATTGTAATTTAAAAACAAAGACATAAACTTTTCATTTATCACAAAGTAAAATGTTATGGTAACTAAGTACTTTATGCGTGGTCCACCACGGTGTCAGGTATCTGTACGGTTATGTCACAGGATTGATCCATACTGTTCATGTTGTAGCGTTAACATGAGGGCAGTGTCTGGTTCTCTTGAAAACCAATGTGAAATTACCCTTGTCAATTTATATAACTGTGAATACTTAAGACAACTCACTACTCTTTTAGTCCATGAAGTCATTAACAAGTGGACTGAGTCATGTCGGTAATTGTCGACTACCTGGTTGGGGTCCGCGAGATGATAATAATCGATGGTTAGAGACCTTGAATGACATGGTTCCAAATCGTTCGCAACGGCGCCGGTGCATTTATTCCGAGTGTCCTCTCAAATCCTAATCTTCTGGAATCGTCAGCACCTCTAGTTCTGACTTTCTAAACTTTTCTCACGGAATTATACTTGTTGAATAATATCTTCTAATCCTAACCTCTCCGATTACTTCTAATACCTTTACTACTATTGGATTTGAATTGACAATTATATCTCTGTGCTGATGTGTAGTATGGCAAAATGAACTGATGTACTTACGTACCAAGTTCTACGTAGCATCTGACTGACTGACTGACTTACTAACTGACTACTCTTTTAATCCTTTTTTGTTATAAACTGAAAGTATAAAATTTCTAAAATAGACGCATGATTCAATTCTTGTTAAGCTTTAGAACCTATAGCGATTCAATAAATTGAATACATTGAAATTACTGAATTTTGATAAAGATACGTTGAAATTTTAATTATGAATCTAGAATATTTAAATTGCCAGACATCGGAGAAAGCAAACCACATTTCAGCTAAGGAAGAAATTAGAAAAATGCACTGGAAGTGGATAGAACACACACTGTGAAAAGCACCCGACTGAGTTACACAACTAGTCCTAATTTGGAATCCTCAATGCCAACGGAAAAGAGGAACGCGATGGAACACATTACGCCGACAAATGGAGACAGGTATGAGAAGAATCAATAACAATCAGAAAGAACTAGAAAGCAAGACCTGGGAACAGAGTAGGCTGGAGAATGCTGATCAGCGGTCTATGCTTCATTAGCGGTAACAGACGAAAGTTAAAACAATATGTAATGTCCTCACTAACCAGGAATACTTAACACTGTAGACCAAAATTAACTGAGAACTACTGAACAGAATAAACAGATTTATATCTTATACTTATCTATAGCCCTTCATCTTACGTATTGACTATCGATCACATGACATTGTGACCAACAGTAGTATTTGAATATATTTATATACATATAAATAATAGATTAAAACAAATGACTACCTCCAATTTTATTCAATGCTTTTTCAATGTTCAATTCACCCTGTGTATCATTCAATACTGGATTCATTGCCTTTGCAACACTGAAATTTACATTGAAATTCTCATGATAATCATTTATATTGGATAGATTAACAGTTGAACTATCAAACCGATTAGTAATAGTAGTATTATAATGATTATGAGTAGTATTCTCAATAGTTTGTTCATTATTATTATTATTATTAGGGTAGAATTTTTTAAATGAATTATTAACATGATAATTATTATTATAAAATTGTGTCAGTGTTAAATCAGACAAATGATTACCATATTCATTTGTCGGTTCGTCATGAATTGATTTATTAATAATCGTCGGTGTAGTATTCACGGAATCCGTCAATAGAGATGGTAATAACGATAGTCGATTTGCGTTACCACTACTAGTATTGCAATCATTCAAAGTTTGAGCATGTTTGTTTAAATAATTTGCCGATTGACTATTGAACACATTTGAATTCAATGTACTGACGACCATTGGATATGTAACATGCATACCGGATGGCTTATGCATCAATTGATCATTGATACCAATCATTTGTTTATATAGAAATGAATCAGTGATCACTGGATTAGGATGACATGAATTCTGTGCATTGGTGGTTGCAGTGATATGTTTCCAATGTGTTGAATTCCATACGATTGGATCGAAGAATGGTATGAATGTTGTATCACTGCTGGTCATCGATGACGCAGAACTTGTTGAGTCATTGTAAACACTACCTGTTTGTTTGATATCGTCTTTGTGTTTGAATGACTGACTTTCATTATTATTCTCATCATGAATGAAACCTGTAAGATAACGATGATGATTTGATAAGCCCATGATGAAACTGTTATTAGTGTTATCAGTCTTGTATGATGATGATGAATAAGCATCATTTTGATTTGTATGATGTAAATTCGGTGAACAGAATTTCGAACTGATTGGTTGATTATGTAATCGAGTGAAATCCGATGTAGATGCGACAATGTCACGTGAATAATCTTCTCCTTTATTTAGATAATAATAATAATATAAATCACTTGCTGTTGATACGTTTGTCAATCTTGAAAGATCATCAGTATTTCTATTCAAATTATTCTCATTGATAAATAATGGGAAAGAATTCCCAATTGATGTTGTATACTGGTGCAATGAATGACTAATCAGTGGATTAGGCAATGTCAATCCTAATTGAGTACAAATATTATTGTGAGTAGTATTATTAGTAGTAGTAGTAGTATTAGTTGTATGATAATCGCTGCAATTTAATTCGATTTGTGAACAAAGTGTTGGATGATTATCAATAGTATTAGTAGTATTCGAGTCCATCATGTTAGTAGTTCGTATAATCATAAGTCTGTACTAACCGATAACTATTACATAATCAGATTAGATTAATTAATATTATTATTATTATTATTATTACTATTAGTAAGTAGTATGATTTAATTTGTGTGTATTTTTTAACCTGCTCAAAGCTCTAGATTTTGAAAAATTTTCTATTCTATCATTTATCCTTGTGATAATAACTCTTATGCTCTCTATTTCTACCCCTTATGTTTAACAATCTCATAAACATGTACACATATACTCATACACACACACCCACACACTTACACACAGTGAAACTGTTCAATTCTCTTCAATTCACTATGAAAACTCTCTCTCTCTCATCCTTAGTCACAGTCTATAGAAGATATAATCAGCTACGCTAAAAATGCTAAAACCGCATTTACAACACATTGGTTGATAATCATAATCATGGTAAGTGAGAAAGACAGAAAGTAGGCAGGCTGAGTGGTTCTCTGTGTTCTCTATTTGTTTTGGTATAATCTTCCACTCTACCACGAAAAAAAATTTCAAATCAAAATTATATAAATTTGTTTTAATTTAATTTGATTGGTGTGAGCGAATTATGATTATTATTATTACGACGATTAGAATTGTTAAACGTTACATAGAATGGAATATTTTACTTTACATGAAATGTATGAAATGTACTACGATTCATTTATCAATTATCGATCATCACATTTGAAATTATCAGTCAATCATAGTTAGACCACCAGTAGAAATCTGCCATCACTGGACGGCCATTTCGTCCTGACATGGGACTCATCAGTGTTAGTGCGCATCTACGACTCCTGCACCTCTCAGGATTCGAACTCGAAACCTTCGGTATTGTGCGCGAACGCGCATCCAACGGTGTTAATGTTTAACTCTGACTCATCTAAGGATTTTACGCGACCCCACCCATTTGTATTTGGTGGTTACTTCCTACACCCGACAGGGTTGAACTGCATTGGTCACGTCTTCTCAACCTAGAACTCCGAGAATTTGCTCACGAAGCTAGTCACTAGGAATATTTTTCAATGTATTTATACATTGTAACTAGGAATGAAATGCAATTTATGTAGTCTTTACTGGTTGGTTAACTCCGCCAGTAGAACCTTAGGGGCTACTGCCGGTCCCAAGCCCGGATAAAGGAGGAGGGTTGGACATGGGGTTGGCGACCCCATTCCGTTGAAATCTCACTTGCCAAAAAAACGCTAACCAGAAAAGATAATTCAAACCATTTTAACTCTGCCCTGGGAGTTGGAAGAAGAATTATGACGTCTCGTGATGAAAGCCGAGTTCCCTCGGAAGTCACGGGGCCGATGCCTCTTCTGACAACCAGAGCAACCATTTTTTTTAGGTACATGGAACGTTCGCACATTGTGGGAGACTGGAAGACTATTTCAAGTTGCGGCAGAAATGAAAAGATACAACCTCGAGGTGCTTGGAATCAGTGAAACACACTGGACACAGGTAGGACAACTGAGACTTGCTTCAGGGGAACTGCTGTTATACTCTGGTCATGAAGAGGAAAATGCTTCACATACACAAGGAGTTGCATTGATGCTGTCCAAACATGCACAAAAGGCACTAATAGGATGGGAATCTCATGGACCCAGGATCAATAAAGCATCCTTCAAAACAAAGAAAGAGGACATTACAATGAACGTCATCCAATGTTATGCACCTACCAATGACTACAATGACGACGTTAAAGATCAATTCTACGAAAGGCTGCAGTCAATCGTCGATAAATGTTCACCAAAGGATTTGACGATTCTTATGGAAGACCTGAATGCCAAGGTTGGCATGGACAACACTGGATATGAAGACCTCATGGGACGACATGGACTGGGAGAAAGGAACGAAAACGGTGAGAGATTTGCAAACCTATGTGCCCTCAACAAACTGGTCATCGGTGGCGCAATATTCCCGCACAAACGCATTCACAAAGCCACATGGATTTCACCGGACCACACTACTCAAAACCAAATTGACCATATCTGTATCAACAAAAAGTTCAGAAGGACCATGGAAGATGTGAGAACCAAGAGAGGAGCTGATATAGTTTCATATCACCACTTGCTGATCGCCAAAATGAGATTGAAGCTAAAGAAGCACTGGACAGCGGGGCAGACAACATCACACAAGTTTAATACGGCCTTTCTTCGGGATACCGTAAAACTCAACGAATTCAAGATAGCCCTCACCAATAGGTTCCAGGCCTTTCAGGATCTACTCAATGGAGAGGAAGCAACATTGGAGAACAATTGGAAAGAGATTAAGGAGGCAATCACTTCAACATGTCAGGAGGTCCTTGGTCTCAAGAAGCACCATCACAAGGAATGGATGTCTGTTGGTACTCTTGGAAAAATTCAAGAAAGGAGGAACAAGAAGGCAGCTATCAATGTCTGCCGAACAAGAGCAGAGAAAGTTAAGGCGCAAGCCGAGTATACAGAAGCAAACAGGGAAGTGAAGAAGAGCATCAGAGCTGACAAACGAAAATATGTGGAAGATCAAGCAATGACGGCGGAAAAGGCTGCAAGAGAAGGAAACATGAGACAATTGTACGAAACAACAAAGAAGCTGGCGGGAAACTATCGTAAACCAGAACGACCAGTGAAAAGCAAGGAAGGGAAAATAATCAGCAACACTGACGAACAGCGAAATAGGTGGGTGGAGCACTTTAAGGAACTATTGAATCGACCAGCTCCACTGAACCCACACAACATCGAAGCAGCATCCAAGGACCTCCCAATTAATATTGGCGCACATACGATTGAGGAGATCAGTATGGCCATCAGACAAATCAACAGCGGCAAAGCAGCAGGACCAGACAACATTCCAGCAGAGGCAATGAAAGCAGATGTGGAAGCAACTGCGAAAATATTACACATTCTCTTCAAGAAGATTTGGGATGAGGAACAAGTACCATCAGATTGGAAAGAAGGATACCTCATCAAAATACCAAAGAAAGGCGATCTCGGCAAGTGTGAAAACTACAGAGGCATCACTCTTCTTTCAATACCAGGCAAAGTCTTCAACAGAGTATTGTTAAACAGAATGAAGGACTTCGTAGACGCCCAACTTCGAGATCAACAGTCCGGATTTCGTAAGGATCGATCATGTACTGACCAAATTGCTACATTACGGATCATTGTGGAACAATCAATTGAATGGAACTCACCACTCTACATCAACTTCATCGACTACGAGAAAGCATTCGATAGCGTGGATAGGAAAACACTGTGGAGGCTTCTTCGACACTACGGTGTGCCTGAGAAAATAGTTAATATCATACGGAACTCATGATGGATTCAACTGCAAAATCGTGCACGGAGGACAGCTAACCGACTCTTTTGAGGTGAAGACCAGTGTCGGGCAAGGTTGCTTACTCTCACCCTTTCTCTTTCTCCTGGTCATCGACTGGATTATGAAGACGTCAACATCTGGAGGGAAGCACGGAATCAACTGGACAGTTAGGACGCAGCTGGATGATCTGGACTTCGCAGATGACCTGGCTCTTCTATCGCCACTCAACAACAAATGCAAGAGAAGACGACCAGTGTAGCAGCAGCCTCTGCAGCAGTAGGTCTCAACATACATAAAGGAAAAAGCAAAATTCTCCGATGCAACACAACATGCACCAACCGAATCACGCTTGATGGAGATACCTTGGAGGACGTTAACACCTTCACATATCTTGGCAGCATCATCGACGAGAAAGGTGGATCGGACGCAGATGTGAGGGCGCGGATTGGCAAAGCGAGGGCTGCATTTCTACAGTTGAAAAATATCTGGAACTCCAAACAACTTTCAAACAAAACCAAAATCTGGATTTTCAATACAAATGTCAAGACAGTTCTACTGTATGGAGCGGAAACTTAGAGAACTACCAAAGCCATCATCCAGAAGATACAAGCGTTTATTAACAGTTGTCTACGCAAAATACTTCGGATTCGTTGGCCAGACACCATCAGCAACAACGAACTGAGGGAGAGAACAAGTCAGATTCCAGTGGAGTAAGAAATCAGGAAGAAGCGGTGGAAGTGGATAGGACATACACTACGAAAAGCACCTAACTGCGTCACTAGACAAGCCCTCAGATGGAACCCTCAAGGCAAAAGGAAAAGAGGAAGGCCAAGGAACACACTACGCCGAGAAATAGAGAAAGATATGAGAGGAATGAACAAACATTGGACAGAACTGGAGAGGGAAGCCCATGACAGAGTTGGTTGGCGAAAACTGGTGGGCGGCCTATGCTCCATTGGGGGTAACAGGCGTAAGTAAGTAAGTAAGTAAGTTACTGGTTGGTTAGATGTAGTTATGTGCACGTTAGTGTCGTCATCCATATTCGAGATGTTTAAGAAGCATTGCTCGAATATCCTGGGACAACCAAGTAAGCAATGCTATCGTTAGGAAACGAGTACTAGGTAACGATGGCAGATCAATAGATGAAGTAGTGAAACTTCATCAGTTGAAGTGGTTGGGACATGTGTTACGTAGGCCTAACCACCGACTGCCTCGACGAGCTATGTTTTGTGGTGTAGTAGTAGGTTGGAAGAAAGTTAGGGGTGGTGAAACCGAAATATGGCAGAAATCCATGAAGTCACTAACTAGTCGACTGAGTCATGTTGGTAGATGTAGATTACCTGGTTGGGGTCCGCGAGACGAAATTCACCGATGGTTAGAGACCTTGAATGATATGGCTGAGAATCGTTTGCAATGGCGCAAGTGTAACCATTCGTTCTGTTCTCTCAAATCCTAATCTTCTGGATTCATCAACACCTCTACCTTTGTCTCTCTAACCTTATCTCATTGAATTATACTTCTTGAATAATATCTTCACACCCTAATCTTCTTCATTACCATTAATACCTCTACTATCTCATCCATAATGGGATTTGATTTGACATTTGCGTCTCTGTGCTAGTGTGGTATGGCTACATTAACTTATGTACATACGTACGTAGTTCTACGTTGCAACTGACTGACTCATATCTAACACTTATCATTAG